GACGGCTAGTCGCAAAGGTTCCGAGACTTTTCTTCTATAATGGTAAACACGCATGGTTGAGCTAAGATCTGCTTGATCGGCGAACTTCTCAAACTCTGATATAAAAGATGGGAAGTCTTTGAATTTACCAACCATTTTCAATTCATTTAAGTTTCCTACAGCGATTGCTTTGATATCCACAGTGAGGTACTTACGATCTAGTTCATGTGTTGGTAAAACTACCAGGTTCTTGAATTCGAATCCGAAGGGAAAGGTAATCAGTAGAAAATGTATTGTATTGTATCTCTCTATCCGAAGTTTTCTGAGTGGCAGCTATTGCTAAGAAATATATTGAATGTGCACGGGCCTCCACAAACCCTTACTCGCTCTTGCCTAGTTTACAATTATCATATCATACACCCCATTACAATTACATGCCTATAGCTAATTCCCACCAAATTACCATGGTGTTAATGGTTGGGACACTGGCACCAATTTAAAAAATCGAAAATAGTCGTGATATGTGCTGCATGGGTTTATTCTCGCCGCGTCATTCTCGCGTGTTCTACCCCCGCAATTTGTTATCTATAGTTTTGACAGTGTAGTCTGCCTGATCGACCCAGCCCTTAAGTCGTATTGTAATCTTGTTGAGGGAGATAAAATTTTCTAGAGCTTTGTTTGGATTTTGCTTTGTCATGGCATCTGCAGGGTTGTCGTGACCATTAATCCATCGAATATCACTGATTTTGTGGCGTTCATAACTCTGCCTCAGCGCCTGCACATCGACCATTAATCGTTTCTCAGATGTTGTACCTAGTTTGACGAGACATTCATAGAGACTGTAGCTATCTGTGCAAAGAATTAGTGGCGCTGTTGGCAATTTCAACTGCTCTGAAATCAACTGCACTGTCTTGGCAACAACATAGCCGGTGTCCACACCGGCAATGGTGCCATAAACCTCCGAGGCGAGCACGCTTCGAGTGATACGCTTGCATTTCTGGGATGACCAATGGATAAGATTTCCAGTTATAGTGAACTGCTCTTCAGACTTGGCAATTTCATTGACCAGCGTTACTATAAAACCCACCTGTGATGAGAGGTCTCTTAAATTGGCAAATGAACCATCAGCGAAGACCATAATCTTCCAGTTGCTCGGATCTAGCGGGACGAAATTGAGGCCACGGTCCTTGTTAATGAGCTGCCAAGTTATGCGCTTGTTGATGGCACTATACTCATCATCTGTAGGCTCCTGAGCTTGGGCCGCAAAGGAATAGTCGAATGCGGCTTTGGGTTGGCAAATAGAGGCTAGATACGCGCCACGGGCGCGCTGCTGGATATATTCTTGTGGACGATGTGTAGTATTGATATCAACAGCTTTGAGCTTATCGGCTTGTCCTTTCTGTGACATCACAATAGTTTCGCCCTTAATTTGTAGACGGCAGCCATTGAAGTCAGCTGCAGAGCCGTCGGCAAGGAAAGTTTTTGGCTTGGCCAGGAGCTTTGCATTCTTGAGTTCTTCCTCCTCTGTAGCCATGAATTCGGCAGTGCCAACGAGCAGCGTATCGTCTGTCTGCATACCAGCTATGCCAAAGTTCTTACCGGTATTGGTGACTAGAAGGCAAGGATCAAATACCGAAGTTGACATGTCTAATTTTTCCTTGTGATGGTTCTGATAGGTAACAAACCAGTGGGCTCCATACTCTGGGATACCGTATAGAGGCCAGACAACGCGGAATATAGTACCTTCGGGGTACTTTTCTTTTAGCTCTGAAGGGAGGCGGGCAAAGATATCACGGGCAAGAGGCGTTTTTAGACTGAGTGTACGCCTGTGTGATATCACGAATAGCGAAAATCATACCTCTTTTAAGTAGGGTTGGAGCAACGGCAAGGATCAGTCTTTGGCTGCAACGCTGAATAGTCGGAGACTGGGTTAGGACAAATTGTTTTTCATGATCGTTATATCCCTGCACAACAAGACGGGATTTTTCATACGGATGTGTAGTTGTCTTATCCTTGATTTCGCACACCATACGTAACCCAAAAAGTCGGCAGCCGTTTGGGATTTTATTGCTGGGAGTAGGTACTAATACACCGCGGGCTAGGAGGCTATCAATTTCAGCAATATCACTGAGCTCGAATGGAGCCCCAGCAGTATTGATCTTGCCATCAGCACGGAGACGGATAGCAAGTTCTCTATCGCTATGCTCTTTGTGGGTTATGAATTGCTGCTTGAATGACGTAGCGTCAACCATAGTTATGATGAATAAGTCGGTATCTGGAGTAGTATCATTATCAGAATCACTGTCATAAATGGGCTGTTGGATACGACTGCGCGGACGAAGACGCTTGGCGATTGGCTGATCGGACTGCAATTCGGGTTCCTTGGAGTGTTGCTTATCATTTAACGTAACTTTGCGTGTACGACGAATTGCATTTCTTAAAGAAATATTGGTTGGCCGGGCTGTTGACTGTTTTTCGTGACGTTTTGCCACAACATCATTAGGAATAGTAGGGGGTGTTGGAATATTAGCGGGTCGGCCACGCGGGCGAGGAAGTTCTACAGGCGGGTATTTGAATGGCTCTAGACCGGATGAAATGGCGATAGCTAGGTTAAGGCGATTGTATGGCTTGACGAAATTGACGCGAAATTCAGAGCGATTGGTGCCTCGCTGGACAGTGACATTAATTCCATCTGTGCTTAACATGGTGTGGGGACCAACCCATCCCTTTTTAGCGCCACAGTAGACAATAACTTCGCTGCCAATTGGGATAGAAAGTGGTTGCATGTCAGATGTGTCCTGCGCATTGCGAGTATTGAGTGCACGGTTGACTAGGTGCTTGGCGTTGATCTTATTTAGCTCCTTCATCGCTTTACTTATTGCTTCGGCCCGCTGCATCGTTAGTGCGGACGGAGGGGAATCCATTTTTAGACGTGGCATAGCACCAAACACAAGAAGAGTTGGGACCAAACCATTCGAGCTAACACTGTCATTTATACATTTAAAGGACATGTGCAATGCGGCTTCTGGGGAAATGGCTGTGCCCAACTCGGCGCAGATGATGCGATAGACTGTACGCAAGGGCCCATGGTATCGCTCGACCTTACCAATTGAATGATGTGCTTCGGTGGGAACTTCGACAACAGTGATACCCATGAGCCGTGCCTCAGCACAAAACTCCTCTGCACTAAACTGCGTGCCTGCATCTGTGGCGAGAATGTCAGGAGGACCAAGATATGTGTCAATCCAACATTCTCGGAGGCGTTCCCACGCTTCTTTGGCAGTCATGTTCTTCAGAAAACGGCCAGATTGAAAAGCAGTTGCCGTGTCAACGGTATGTAATACTGCTTTGCCGTCCAAATCAAGAGTATAAACGATAATTTCGTGGTTGAAAGCAATGTCATCGCGGAGAGTGAATCGAAAGCGACGGGGTGTAGCACCCTTCATCTGGCAGTGGTGGCAAAACTTGGCGATCATTTCAAGGGCTTCAGTGTTAGCTTCCTCACTAGCACGGCTAAGAATATTGCACATTCGCTGCACTGTTGGATGGCCAAATTGTCGATGAAGGCGTTGTAGCTCAGGGACAGTCAGGAATAATGACGCATGTTCAAGATCTGAGATCATGAACCATGGATGGCCCCACTTTCGCACGATGGGGATCTCCTTATAGCTTGGACTACGCTGGACGAGGAGATTGCGCGTGTTGTCGAGATGGGTGTCAAGACGGTCCATGTCCTTGAGGCTAAGCAGGAATGGCGTCGGCGTGTGCATGACGTAGAACTTTACGGTACCAATTGGTGTTATAGTTTCGACAAACCCGAGTGATGAAATTGCATCACAATTACCGAAACGAACTTTTACCTTGTTATCTTCCTTTTTCAGGTGTAGTTTGTCACGGACGAGGACGAAGACGAGGACGAAGACATAGGCTGATAATGAGGACGAGATATTTAGATTAATAATTAGATTCTAAAACATGAGTAATTTACAAGACAAAAAGCTACAGTACACGTCCAGTCCTAGAGCTTCCTTAAGTACACGAGCTTTAATACTGAAACCAAGGGTGTAGTAGTTTACAGCCATAACACAGTAACTAACTAGTACTCTAAATGGCAACTGTTGCTATCACAACACTGTTACCATTACAATACCTAAATTGTGTTATTGTATGCACGTCATAACTCGGTTGCCTGGGTGCGACACGACATCCCAGTGATGGTTTGTGACATAGTTCTGGATGCTCTCGCTGCAAGGCCTGAAACTGAGGAAATCCCACTGTTGATGTCTGTGCTGTGCCGGTATCAGGCATTATTCCCTGAAAGCGTTCGTTAGAGGATCGATCAAGAACAAATTGTTCGGTAGGAACTGGTGAATTGGACTCAAGTGATGGCGGTATGTAGTCTGTGAGACGGTAGCGCGCAGATTCGTCGATGAGAAAAGAGGCGGCACTCATAAACAAGTCGTTTTCGCTGTTCTCATCTTCACTGAAATCGTCGACAGCAGTATTATGAGCTATAGTATCTGAGTTCTCCAGGGGTAATCCTTCAAAATCCAGCAAAAATTGCCGGTAGGGCTTCATTGTTCGACTGAAGCGGTGGGCATCATAGTATTTGCGGCGATGTTCAGCCTGCTCGTGTTGAGGATGATTGCGGGCAAAGTGACCTTGCTTACCACAAATGTAGCATTTCTCATCGCTACTGTGCTGGCGACGACTACTTTTATAGCTTTGCTTGTAATCATTATCGCGAAATCGGTGGTCGTTGTTTCTATTCTGACCACGAGGAAGGCAATTAGAATTATACTTTCGATCGTTATAATTAATATCCGGTGCGTCATTGGTCTGATCAACAACAAAGTGGCTTACAGAGGGTTGCATTGCCTGGAATAGTGCATTCCGTAGATCATTACATAATTGCTCATATTGCATTGTGGGTTTGAATGTTGCAGGCTTTAGTTCAGCCACGCCTTGCACTGCACGCAGTGTTGCAGTAATCAGCTGTTGTTCACCGAAGTACGAGCTACCTAGAGCCCGTTGACAAAGTTCCAAACGATTGAGCAAGAAGTCCAAGACACCAGGAAGATCTTTTTGCAAACCTTCTTTGTCATTCCTAGCCGACTGAAAAGTGATTGAAGTCCAGTCATTGTGGTAGCGAGAGTGATAATGCTTGTATCAAAATGACTTTTCAGTATCAGGTACATATCGCAAAACTTGGCAGAATTGCTAAGGGAATACAACGACCATTTCTGCGCCGCACCCGATAACGTCATTCGAAATATAGCATGCAGTTGCGATGGAGCTATGTCAATTTGGGAACAAGTGAGTTGAAACTGGCGCACAGTGTCGTCTAAAATGTTGTAAGCTGCGCCCGTGAAGTTGTATTCCTTATTCCAGATTTTGCTAAATGTCTCAATCTTCCGAGAATCCAGTGGCTCATTATTGTCCTCTGGAATGACCAGATGGTTAGGGTTAAGCGGATCTAGTAGGTGACAAGCAATAGGAACTTGATCAACAAACGACGGATCAACACTGAGATAATGCGATGGCCTTTGGATACGCTGTGAACATGGGGGATATTGAGGTTCCCCCTGTGGGATTGGGGCGGTACGTGTGTTAGTAGGAGTTCGTAAAATATCATCGTCGTCGTCATGATGGGTTTGGATTGCAATGTCGCCATTATTCTTTAAGGGCGCTCTAGTGTTGGGGAAGGTAGACTTGGGAGGTTCGGCGGAACGAAGTGTGTTGATATGTGGGGTTTCAATTACTTCAGACTTGACTGTCGGGTATCGAGCATGAAGCTCACCTTGTGCATTATCTGTGAAAAAGTGCCAGCTCTGGCTAAGTTCAGTGATAGGCCATAGGGGAAGCTGATCACATTTGACCATGTTTGCAAAAACAGCTGCGTATTTTGCGTTTCGGACACCACAATAAACGCCATGACGTACGAGAACATCTTTTAGTTTAGACAAGGTGATGGAACGTAGTGTAGGACTAGCCAATGGTGTAAAGTCTTCTTCTAACCATCCATCAAAGTCCAGACGAAATTCACTCCAAATGGATTCTGAAGTGCCAGAGAAGTATGCCATGTAGTTGGCAACTCGATCAAGAAGAAATGCAGCTCGCTGCGCGACGGTTGGCTCGGAAGAAAGGGGGTTGTCGAATTGGTCTTGATCAATGTGCCTGCGGCGGCTAGGATGAACCCCGGTAGTTTCCCAGATCCACGCAATGTATTCTTTTGTAGCAGCGTCATCATCTTCTAGATCGCGCGAGGGTGCTTTTCTGCCGGCTCTTGAGCTCGATGCCATAGTGATTGCGTACAATTGAACAGATGATTAGTAAAGAAAGAAAGATAGTAATCGATGCGATGTGTGACGGCTTGTGAGCCGATAAGCCCTGTAGCCTTCGATGGCTATCGAAGGCAACCTATATTCTCTATCACTCCGAGGATTATCAGCAGACGAAAACTGATACGAGATCGCCACTGAGGCTACGTAAAGGATAGTGCCAAGAGTATCGGAAGCGTTACCCGTGTGGCAGAACAAACCTTTAGTCAGTTTCATTGCCACTGTAAGTGTAGGCTAGATTTAGATACCTCTGGATGTGTATAGGTAGTAGAGTAGACTTGCAGGTAGTTTGCTTCTACATAGATGAATTATAGCTTTACCTTTCAATCATACAAATGCCCATTCGCTTTCTATATTTGAACTGTGACACGATGTAACTTGATTGCACGACTTAAATGTCGATAATCGTTAAACGCTGTAAAGTATAAAATTGAAGGGGTATCGCTTGGTGATTGAAAGATTCGATAATCAATGGAGGTTTAGGAAAACGCGATGGGGGCGCGCCGTGCAAATGTAGTTGACTCGGCCAATTCGGCCTATGCCTCATACAACGACGGTACAGAACCCTTGATGTTGACTTCAGCTTATCTGACTTGATCGTGATCAATTGCTCTGCTGTAGCAGTTGGATTGCAGTCCTGACTTTGCGGTAAAGACGACTCTACAAACAACTCTCTTCTAATAGGTAAACCTTGCTATTTGCAGTGAGCCAAGTAGTTGGTTCACCACTAATTAGTGTTGGTAAAACTACCAGGTTCTTGAATTCGAATCCGAAGGGAAAGGTAATCAGTAGAAAATGTATTGTATTGTATCTCTCTATCCGAAGTTTTCTGAGTGGCAGCTATTGCTAAGAAATATATTGAATGTGCACGGGCCTCCACAAACCCTTACTCGCTCTTGCCTAGTTTACAATTATCATATCATACACCCCATTACAATCACATGCCTATAGCTAATTCCCACCAAATTACCATGGTGTTAATGGTTGGGACATCATGAAAAAAATCGCCAGAGCTAGCCCAGGGCCAGTTTGTTGGATTTTCATTTGCAGAGAAGAACACACCTATCTTAGATTGGAGGCGCATATAAGCATCACCATCTAGCCAACTTATTAGATCGCAAATTTTCTTGAATTCTGTTTCGAATGCTGTGTGATTCAGATTCTACTTAGTTATTAATTTGAACTTTCAGGCGGTGTACTCATTGTGCCTTTTTACAACCTTCTTTTGATCCCCTGTGAAGGAGTTGAATGATGGTAGCCTATCAAAATAAATACCTCTTTGAAGAGGCTGCCCCTGTGAAGTGGTTCCCTGGGGTGCAGGTGCTTGTGGCTGAGGAGCATGGTTTGCATTTGAAATGGAGGTGAGTTGTCTCTGAAGCGATGTTACTTCAGTAATTTTTTTTTCTCTATTGAAGATCGAAGCTTCTGGATAGATTTTTCTCTGTCATTTAAAGCAGCTCGCATTTCTTGTAGAGCTTGTCGGTTTGCCGAAGAGTGCTGATCAATAAGGCTGAACATCTAGTGAAAAATTGTTCGGAATTCGACCGGAGCATCAGCCAAGCTTGAAAGGTCTACTCGTTTTTCAAACCCTACACCGTCAAATATTTCTCCCAGCGCTGGGTAATTCCCCATCACTTCAGCTAAGGCTCGCCAGGCTATGTCATGTCTACTTTCTAATTGCTAATTTGGAGCTGGGGTGTTACTAGCTTCATTCATTTGTTCTCCCCAGGGATTCTCCATAGTCTCGGCTTCGCGGGAATAAGATCTTTATCCCGATCTCAATTACTCGGTTCAAATTCTAGGTAGCTTGGCAACTCGGTTACTCGTTGATTTCGGTACTCGATGGCTCGGTGTAAAAAACAAGGGCTGTAGATTGAAAGGATCGCGACACGCAACAAAGTTTGATTTTTTTTTTGACTCGGATTGAAAAATTAACCTACGCGCGTGCAATTAAAGAGATGCAACTAACTGTCACGGGCAGTAAGTTCGTCTTCAGGGTAATATATTTGTAGTAGCATAAAATTTATACCAAATGATTTACGGAATCTACATGTACGCGTGCTCACCCAATTGCCACGCCAGTGATATCACCATGCCAACGCTAGTACCCGTGACAGCCAACTTCTTTGATATTGCGAAATTTGACTGAACTTGGCTCTCGGAGAATATTTCACTCCCAGGTTCGTAGAGGACACCGCGTACAGGTGCTCAGTCTCGCCCTCCGCAGCGGAAGTTGAGCTTTAGCAAAGGACAAATACAATGTAGAAGTGTCGTGACGCGCAAATGCCCTGGGAATCCTTCTGTTATTTACATTGCAGTTTTCTTTTAATCCACGTATTTCGTCTCATAATAGTATCGGTTTCTTCAAATAATTAGAAGACTTATTGTCTATCTCCATTTAGAATTAGGAAAAGAGTCCAAGCAAGCTGCACTTCACTCTAAGAGCAAAACTTCTTGAAGTAGTAACAGGCAATATAAGATAACTCTAAGCTTTAATGGAGAGGGGTTTTAAGAAGAGACAGGAGTTCTTGAGAAAGATACGTGGGACACGGTATTACGTTGTAAATGTTGACTAGAGAGCCCTACCGCTACAGATGAAGTCGGTAAAGGTGGCTGAATTCCACGGGTAAATACTGAGCTGAATGGCTATTCATCAAGGGGAATATATCAATGATCTTTCAAGTAACAATAGAGGATAGGAGCACTGTACAAGGTGTGGCCTGGGTCAGAGAGGAGCCCAATGTGCTTGATAGTCATAGACTCAAGTAGCACAATAAGCACACACACACACACAATTTTTTTGAAATTCGAATTTTCGAATATTCACCCTTTCCCCTTCTCCCTCCCTCTCTCGATATCGTGATATCGTACGCCCTTACTTCAAAATTTGTGAGCGACTAGCAGGCTACCATTATGCCCCCAGTTCGCAGTAAGCCATCGCGGGCGAAAGACATCGTAGATAACCGCAAGCACCTCAAACACGTTGCTCGACAGAAAGCAAGCGTCAAGTTGAGCCCACTAACTGCCGTTCAAGAGATGAACATCGACCAATTAATCGACGAAAGTACCATAGATTGCGATATGATAGATGTTGGCAACTTTGACATTGACAAGATTCTTAAGAATCTGAAAAGACTACCTAACTCAATTCACTCCAAGCCAGATGCGACCGGAGCTGAAAATGCAGCGACGAGTCGCAACAATTTAGAGACAGCGACTACCGGACAGCATATACTTCCTCTCATTGAAGTCGCTGTGCCAGCTATGAGATGGGCTGCGATTGCAGATGCTAACAAGTCAAAAGGTGCAGCATCTACCCAAAACCCCCTGGAACATACACCAGGAACCACAGAAGAGAATCCTCCTCCTCACAGTAGAAATGAAGGCAGGCAGACGGAGGAATGCCCCCCCGAACTCAGAGCCTTAATTGAGGCTGAGGAACGCCGGGCCGCAAAAACTGCGGAAAATGTAAAAATTTGCACCGCTGCAATCAACGGTGTCGAGAACGCTCTCTCCCCCCTATCCAAAGGGTCGAGTGTTCAATTTATAGACTCTATGAAAGTCTACATAAGAGCTGTAATAGCTCAATTTATGATCGCGGGACCAGGTACAGTCCTCCCATCACTCCCCCCACGCCCCGAAAGCCAGGCTACTAGTTGCAAGACCGCAGAATATGCTGCTGGTAAGCAAAGTGAGCCACATCGCGAAGCGGCTCAAGCCGAAGTGCGCCAGGCCAAAACCACTTGGGCCTCGATCACCCGTAATGGTCTACAAACGCTCCCGGCACCTACAAAAGTCGCGTAGACAATGCCCAAGGCGGCAAACTCGACTCGAATGGCCCAAAATTCAACCGGGCCAACAAAACCGGCCGTGCAAGACGAACGTTTGTTTCTCCGCCTCGAAAAAGAACATCCCTGGCGAACACTCTCACCTTTCGGTGTTAGAGAAGCAATTACGCAAATGCTCGAAATCCCCCAAACAAAAATTGAGCATGTCTACCGTGTGCCAACTGGCTTCGCAATCAGAGCCAAAAACCAAGAGGCACGCACGCTGATGCTTAGCCTAGCTGGATCCTTCGCCCAGCAGGATGCAATATTGGAGAAAGCCTCGGACTTGGCTTCCCTTAGAATAGCGACGGTCCCAGTCGCAATCAATACAATAATGGGCAAAGTTATCATCACAGAAAAGATGGTGGCCGACGAGATAGTCAGGGTCACCAAAGCTATCCCGGTAAAAGTTCGCCCACACGGGAAAAGCCGACCGGGCGCCCCATACCAGTCATGGGTAGCCCTTTTCGAAAAAGCATCGATCCCTCGGCCAGGTTTCCGACTTTTCGACGACTCTGGGATTGCAGTCCGCCACCAGCCTCGTCAAAGCATCAACCAGTGCAAAAGATGCCTACAATTCCATGGCACCAGAGGCTGCTCGCGCGCCCCAACCTGCTGGAATTGTACTTCAACTGTGCATTCCATCGCGGAGTGCAAGGCACACACCAAGTGTCGCAACTGTGGAGGTCCACACAGGTCAGATAGTCGGGACTGTCTAGCTCGTCCAACAAAGTCTGGAATGGCCTCCAGGGAAAACCTTCAGACCATAAGGCAGGCTAGCCAACGCGAATTCGCAGCAGTCACTCGAGCCAAAGCAGCTGTCAAACGCGCAGAGGCAGCGATGACAGCAGCCGCAGAAGCGTCAAACACTAACCAGCCAGGTTTCAAATCGACCAACTGTTTTGAAGTTCTCATGTCCGACGCTACAGCGACTGTAGCCGAGGTCGATGAGGCATCAAATCAGCAAAAATCTTTGTGAAGGGCACCCCACGGGTCTCTTCGAGCCTCTCTCCTACTCTAAGCTTTATGTCAATAAACGTAGGTAGAGGGGGCTCAACGCAAAACATTGCGCTTGCCCGAGCATTTGAGCTGGGTATCGACGTGGTTCTTGTTCAAGAACCTCTGTGGAATAAA